TCACAGCCGCCAATTTGGCGGCCAATGTGGCGGCTGTGAAGGCAGCTGTTGATGAAAATGGCGGAAATGCCTGGGAAGATCTGAAGGCAACCCTTAGAAAGAATGCCACGAACGTTGATTTCAAGAATTCTGAGGGGAAAGCTGGGCTACAACAATTGGGGCCCGGATTTATGAAGCCCATCTACCATGGTTTTACAGTTCGATGGGTTGAATCCCTGGGAAATTCTGTTTCTGCTTCGGGCAACGTGACAAGTTCTCAGTCTACGCGGCATAATATCCGTTCGGATCCGCGGTGGCGGAGAATGGGATCAAGCAGGTACACAGTATATACAAATGAAGAGCATACATGTTGCCATATGCAGCCAGGGAAAATAATTATGCAGAACGCATATGAGGGGATTTAACTGTCAGGGTATTGATATGATGCTGCTTGCATTGGCAAATTGAAGTTTTTTTAATGCGATCAAATTAATTTTCAGCTAATATTTGATCATTAATTTTTATTTTTTGAAAGAAAGGGGCAAACCTCGTATTTTTGCATCAAATGGGGTTGTCCCAGTTGGACGCGACCTCTGATATTTTCCAAGTAGGAATGGTTTAAAAAAAATCATCAAGTAGCTCATGCTGTTTTGAAGTTCTGGGTTTTTTTTTAGATTCAATTTTAGAAAAGGGTTTTTGTTCACCGCATCGTTTGTCATGCTGAGTGAAAACTTTCCAGTTACAGCCAAAGTTATCCTTTCATATCAAAGGGGTGCAACAATAAATGCATCAGACTAGAAAAAAAGTATAATTTTGTTGTTGTTCAATCATCATCTATGATCCGAAAAGTAATTCCCAGAACTTTAGGACATCATTGGATATGTCAAGATATGTTTTTTTTACAATCACACCTTCACTGGAAATATCAGAGGTCGCGTCCAACTGGGACAACCCTTTTATTTCGATTCTCTCAGTCAGGAGACGACAGAAGAGTAGACTTACTTACAAATTGAAAATTTTTTCAACTGCTCAAGAGATCGCTTTTCATAATTCTTTCACATTCACCAATTAATTTTCAATAAATCGGTTTAAAATTTCATGGTTTAAATCGAAGCCCTTTATTGCCGCAGTTTTTCGAAAACGAAAAATTCAAAAGAAGATGATGCTGCCGCGTGTTCATGTGGGAATTTCGAATGCTGGGTTTCAAGTCGGATGCCTGAATTTTACTCACTTTGATCAATTTCCGCCTATACAGTATTTAACAAAGTACAGTAATTTTCTATCACTAAGTTAATCAAACATGCCAGATAAAAAGGTTTTCCTCAACTTTATTTTCAACTAGAATCGTCAAGTGAACTTCTCAAGATTATTGGCAGAATTCAGCATATTTTTTCTACAAGGAGATCGAAAGGCAAATTTCGAAAAATTTTCAGTGTTTCCTCCTTCATCGATTATCGACGAAAATCAACATAATTCTTTAAAGCCAATCCCAGCTCAGACAGCTCTGAAGGCAGTGAAGTTACAACAAAATTAGATGTTGCGAATTGTAATTCCCGTTTTCTAAATGTCTACAATGAACGACAGAGTGAAATGGGATTATGCTCGTCATCCACCGAAGATCCTGAACACTTATTGAATGCAGATATTCAATCAAATTGTGTAAGATTTATTCAGCGAAGAATCATCATCACCTTCTGTTTGTACTGCATCAGACTTCAGTTGTTTTCCGAAAGTCGAAGACACTGAAAGTGATGAAAAATTGAGCTTCGTGAATTCTCGAAGAAAAATATATTCTTAAAACATGATCCATTTCGCGCGGAAAATGATTCTTCGTCTTCGTTGATTCAATCAAATTCTGTAGGATTTATTTAGTGAAGAACCATCATCACTATTTGTTCGTACTGTATCTGACTTGAGTTGTTGCCCGAAAGTCGAAGACACTGACAGTGATGAAAAATTGACCTTCGTGAAATCTCGAAGAATAATATATTCTCAAAACGTGTTCCATTTCGCGCGAAAAATGATTCTTCGCCTCACTGAAAACTTTCGGAAAAGAGTTTGCTGACTCAGTTATTGGACGAAAGGGTCATGTTGCTGCTGCAGCTGGTGGCAAATTTTTAGCAGTAAAGAAAAAAGGACAGTACGTATGTCCCTTTTAAACTACATAAATCGTTGTCACCAGCACAAGCCTATATAGAGAAGCCTTGCAATAACGGCATCATTTAATCACTCGAGCCCCGGCGTATTTCCTGTTAAATACGGCGGGGTATATTCTGCTCAGACCAGATACAATAAAACCGGAACCCCCTCCATACCCCCATCTGCACTTTTCACCTTCTTCCCCTCCCGTTTTATGATGCTTCATAGGTTCCATGTACGGAATGAACCCCCAGCTTGTTGATCCCGTGCCATATTTCACTGCGCTGCTCCTTTCCCCCCCCCCCCCGAATAAGCCAAAGGGAAGGGTTTCATTCCGTGGTATGACGTGAGCCAGAATGGTTTCTTGAAATGATCCGAATTCGTTTTCCTTTATTGGCAAAGACTCTATTTCGTGTGTCGCATTCCTTTTTTTTTAACGGTATAATACGAAATTTTGACTTCGGAATGCGGGTTTAATTTTCAATCTCTGAAAATGGTCGTGTCTTTTATTTATTTATTCTTTTACGAAAAGAAATCGCGAGGACTTGGCGTTGTAATTTCCTGCGCGCATTTGATGTTTATAGAGCACAGATTTCGTGTGGAATTTTTTTCCAGCATCTATTTTTAGTCACTTCCAGAATTCAGTTAATGATGCATTTCTTGGAAATAGAAATAGGAATATTGAAGTGTTCAGACAGATTAGACAGGCACCATTGAAATGTTAACTCTTGGGCGGCAAAGTTGGACTATTTTTGCAAAATTTTGGTGCACTTCAGTGCAGAAAATAAAAAAAGGACAACAGGGATTTGAGGACAAAGTCGGGGAAAAATCCGATGTTTTTTTCTTTTTGTACAGAAAAATTTTGTGGGAAAATGAAAAAAATGCTATGTTAAGCAATGGGCTTTTCATTGGATTAATCCTGACTTTGCCTCAGCCCATCTGGAAGGTCTTTTCTGACCTTCAGAAAAATTAAAAAGCCTTAGCATAGGAGAATAATCCCATTTCGGTTGGCGATGGGAAAGAACCCTTTGCCGTCCAAGGATTAAAACTTGAATAAGTCCAGAATCCTGTGAGACTGAGTTTGACCTTGAGTTCCCATAACAATCCAAATTCTTGGGGAAATCCTGTTAAAAGGATAATTCTGCTCAGGGACAAATTTTGCAAAATGAGAAGGGTTTAAAAGCTAGATAGACCCTCTGTTTGATCATCAGTTGTTCTCAGTTTGTCTCACGCAAAAGACTGCTGTTTATTGATCTAAAATCTGCTGTTTGCCAAATTCTCAAAACTTGCTGAATATACCAACCTTACAGTAGGGTGTGAAGCACCCTGGCTGCAGCCCGGCTGATTGTTGTTTGCATTCATTCCAAATTGAGTTTTATACTCAGAAGATTTTGAACCTTCTTCAACTTTATTCCTAACAGCAATGGCTGCAATTTGCATGAAAAAAAACAAAAACAGGAGATTTGGGAGCTTAACAGATTGAATATTTAAAATTGCGATACTTGAGAAAAATAAGACAGTATAACAAGATACTTTCTAAGCCGTGTACGTGTTTTTCAGGCAATTCCGCTAAAAATAAATATATCCGCTAATTTCATCAACAGCCGCATTCACAGCCGCCAATTTGGCGGCCAATGTGGCGCCTTCACAGCCGCCAACAGCTGCCTTCACAGCCGCCACATAGCTGCCTTCACAGCCGCCACATTGGCCGCCAAATTGGCGGCTGTGAAGGCAGCTGTTGATGAAAATGGCGGAAATGCCTGGGAAGATCTGAAGGCAACCCTTAGAAAGAATGCCACGAACGTTGATTTCAAGAATTCTGAGGGGAAAGCTGGGCTACAACAACAAAATCTGAAGGAAAGGGCGCCTTATCTTCCCAGTGGAGAGCAGAACTCTGCTAGGGTGAATTTTGCGAAACATTAAAACAAATTGTCAAAAACGAATTGCTGAACAGACCTGAAACATGTCGTCTTTTGCTGGTAAAGTGAAATTTTGAATCAAGTGCTAATTTTGATTCAAAATTTTGACATCTTTTGAATTATTGCATGAACTTTTGTCAAGACCCTCGTATGGTCAGAATTCTCAAAAAGACAATGAACGTGGGATAATTTTCTATTCATTTTCCAATCTTTTTGGATGAGATGGTAATGTGACATTTGCCAATGACATGTTGAGAACCAGATGCTTTATCTTGAATAATGACCCTCTGTTTTTATTCCTCTCTTTCTATGTGTCACAGATGTGACCAGATTCTGATTCCCAGCATTTTCCTCGAGAGTAATTTTAACTGACGGTGAAAAAACTTGTGGGAAATGATGTTACAGCAGAGTTGTGTGAGAATATTTATTTGTTTGTCATTTTTTCTTGAACTACCAGAGTGCAGGGCGCCCATATGCTTTCGAAGCATCGGAGGCGTTTCGAAAAATTGATTGCCCGTGTCACGGGTCTCGCTTTATCGTCTCCACACGCCTCCTGCCTCTGAAAGCTGCGAAATCAACCAACAACAGCAGTGGCTATCGGAAAAATTGCTTTCTATTCCTGAAAGAAAAGCTAATTTATCAAAAAGCGCAGCTCAAACATGCCGTCCTGATCACATAAATGCATTTCAAGGCAGAAAAAAAAAGTGCGGCAAAGGAACAATACTTTCATCATTGTCGTGGAGCAATCAGTCATTTGGCAATAACACTATGAAGCGAAAAATTTTCCAAATTTTCTGAATTGAAGGAGTCAAAATACTCTGAACATGAGAGATTGAAAGCTGTGATCATAAATTTGATGATCTGAAAACCATTGTTCATTTGTGAAGTAATCCCGATAATTGGTTGGCAAAATAACACTCCAAAACGAAAATTTTCTGTGTGTTTTGCATTGAAGCTCTGAACATGAAGTATTTATTAAGTCGACCCTAAGGAAACAATTTTTTTCAAATTGTAAAATAATCCCCTTCAGGAAAACCGTTTCACGAAAGCGGGTGTCAAAAACGACATAAATTTATTTTTGAAGAGTACTGTTTTATATATGCGAATTAAAATGAATAACATAAAAAATTAGATTGATTCTATACTCTGCAGTGCGGTGTTGATACTTTTGAATTTCAGGTCATATTGATATGAATATGATTACAACTCGGCAATTTTTAATACTGAGCTGATTTTCTGACCGATGGAAATGATAGTTTGTGCTTCGATCAGGTTCATCAACTGCTGGAGTCTTAATTGAAAAAAATAGTTCGTGATTTTGTTTTATTTTCTACACTGATGGTTCCGGTCAACAATTTTAAATCACGAAGTCAAGACTCGATTATATTATACGTTATTCAGGAAAAAAAATAATGCGCCACATTACTTCAGACGCTCTCTATTTTTTCATTAATTTTTCAATCAAGAAGTATAAACCAATGAATTCCTGAAAATCTATTTTCTAATTGTCCTTTCTTCTGTGATCTGTTCATTAATGTCTTCTTTTTTTCAACTAGGGTTGGCAAGGACATCAGAGGAGGTGCTTGGTGTCCGAAAAGACCCATTTCTCCGGAAGTCGAGGAATGGCTTCAAGTGGAATTTCCGGAACCGGTATTGGTGACTGCGGTGGAAACTCAGGGACGATTTGGCAACGGAATGGGCAAAGAATTTGCACAACAGTACACTCTTTCTTACTGGAGACCCGCCTTGAATGAATGGCGGCATTTCAAAGACGCTTTGGGGCATCAGGTATGTTAATTACGCAGACCTGGACTATTTCTTATTATTTGCCGAATCAATGCATCAGTGCATTTTCCTACACTGAATTATAAATCCGATGTAACACAACAGTTGAACGAAGTCGCACTATGATAGGTATATTTATCTGAGGTCTGGTTAAAACGAACTGGACCACAGAGAAAGTCCTCTTTAAGATACTGGCNCCTCCTGCCTCTGAAAGCTGCGAAATCAACCAACAACAGCAGTGGCTATCGGAAAAATTGCTTTCTATTCCTGAAAGAAAAGCTAATTTATCAAAAAGCGCAGCTCAAACATGCCGTCCTGATCACAGTAGTGCATTTCCTCTAATAGAAAAAAAAGTGCGGCAAAGGAACAATACTTTCATCATTATATATATTGTCGTGGAGCAATCAGTCATTTGGTAACACTACGAAACGAAAAAGTTTCTGCGTTTTCTGAATTGAAGGAATCAAAATACTCTGAGCATGAGAAATTGAAAGCTGCGATCATAAATTTGATGATCTGAAAACCATTGTTCATTTGTGAAGTAATCCCGATAATTGGTTGGCAAAATAACACTTCAAAACGAAAATTTTCTGTGTGTTTTGCATTGAAGCTCTGAACACGAAGTATTTATTAATTCGACCCTAAGGATAAAATTTTTTCAAATTGTGAAATAATCCAATTCAGGAAAACCGTTCCACGAAAGCGGGTATCAAAAAACGACATAAATTTATTTGTGAAGAGTGATGTTTTATATATATGCGAATTAAAATGAATAACATTAAAAAATTAGATTGATTCTATACTCTGCAGTGCGGTGATACTTTTGAATTTCTGGCTATATAGTGATGTAAATATGATTGCGACTTGGCGATTTTTAATACAAAGCTGAAAGAGCTGATTTTCTGACTGTTAGAGACTAATAATTCTCAACAAAGAAAATATAAGAATGATAAATAAAACACAGCAATCAGCCTGGGACTGGCTGGGAGCCTCTTTAAAGAGGCCCCAAAAGAATTGAGTATTTAATAATGTCCCAAAGAATAATTCAACTCAGAGAATTTTGGACTTTGAACACACATAATTTCACACAACACAATAATAAAATCAGATGTCTCAAGAGCTCTTCACACTTCAAGATTTGGCAGTGCAATGAATTCAATGCTACATGTTTTTGGAGACAGACAGAAAGTTGTTTTCCTTATGGGCAAAATATTGGCCTCTGATTGGCTGATTTCCTTGGAATCAAAGACAATGCTGTGCATTGTGTACAATTCCTTTGGGACTTGTTCTTTGGTGCTGGGCCTCTACCAAAGGACCAGTTTTTGGGATGTAGTGGGAGTTTATTATTATATTTATTTACTGGTGCCCGACGCAGTCCCCAACACTGACCCATGGAAATGATAGTTTGTGGTTGGATCAGGTTCATCAACTGCTGGAGGCTTACTTTAAAAAATATCTCGTGATGTGTGCTCTATTTTCCACGTTGGTGCTTCCAGTCAACAATTGTGAATCACCAAGTCAAGACTCGATTATATGATACGGTATTCGGAAAAAAATAAATGCGCCACAATACTTCAGACGCTCTCCGTTTTTTTCCTTAATTTTTCAATCAAGAAGTATAAACTAATGAATTCCTGAAAATCTATTTTCTAATTGTCCTTTCTTCTGTGATCTGTTCATTACTGTCTTCTTTTTTTTCATCTAGGGTTGGCAAGGACATCAGAGGAGGTGCTTGGTGTCCGAAAAGACCCATTTCTCCGGAAGTCGAGGAATGGCTTCAAGTGGAATTTCCGGAACCGGTATTGGTGACTGCGGTGGAAACTCAGGGACGATTTGGCAACGGAATGGGCAAAGAATTTGCACAACAGTACACTCTTTCTTACTGGAGACCCGCCTTGAATGAATGGCGGCATTTCAAAGACGCTTTGGGGCATCAGGTATGTTAATTACGCAGACCTGGACTATTTCTTATTATTTGCCGAATCAATGCATCAGTGCATTTTCCTACACTGAATTATAAATCCGATGTAACACAACAGTTGAACGAAGTCGCACTATGATAGGTATATTTATCTGAGGTCTGGTTAAAACGAACTGGACCACAGAGAAAGTCCTCTTTAAGATACTGGCAATATTACTTTCAAAACAGATATCTTCTGAAATTGGAGATTCAGTTTTTTTTAAACCGGAGGTTTTCTGACAAGGCCGGAAAATTAGCAAGAAAAATCAAAGTTTCTAAATGAATTACATCAAAAACGTTTGTCACGAGTCTCACAACACAGTCAAGGAAGCCTATGCCGCAAAGAAAAATATGCGTCTCAGAAGTTTTAATTTAATTCACCGGATCTGTATTTTATTTTTAGTTGCAATTTTCAAAAAAATATCGTTCAGAGTTGCGGAAACCTTTTGATTCAGGTACGGAATCCGTTATAAACATTCATAAAAGCCGATGAATATTGAAAGAAGAGAGAAGCAAAATGACGCATAAAATCAGTTGGTCGCAAGTATTCTCGAAAACAAGTACGGTAATACTGTGATTTTCACAGCACTTTTTCTATTGTACCTCTGCATTTGGACAATTTTGTGCGTGTAATAATTGCTGTTGGAGTTTAATCTGTTCGATTTTTGAAAATTCATCAAGGATTTTTTGTGATTTAATTCTTCGTCAGTCCTGTGAAAAACATTCCTATCTGTTGAAAAATATTGAGCACCGTGAAAAAAATTACAGGATTGTTTTAATTTTCCATCTTCTTATATTACGGTATTTGTGAGTTGATCCTTGAAATTTCCTTCGCCATTTTTAAACTCGAAACACGGCTTTTGAGGGATCAAAGTCCTCGAAATAAATTGATAAATCCAAGAAATACACGGAAGAATAAATCAATGCAAGCATTTTCGTCACGTCAGGACGCGAAAAGCAAAACCGCAGGGAATTCCCAGCATTTTCGGAAAGCTGGTCATTCTTTCAACACAAAAGGTCATGTTTCATAATCAACCAGGAAAATCTCACGAAGGAAATCGCGTTGAATCATTCTACGTCCTGCTCGTTCGTATCTCCACTTCGGAAGCGGATTCATTTTGTTCCTTCTCTCTTCAGCCAAAAACTTGTGTTTTCCAGTGGTTACGACCAATCTTCTTCCCGAATCCGCAGAAAAATAATGGCGATATTTCTGGCGGGTAGGAAATTTTCTGCCATCTAGGATGAAAAATAAGAAAAAAAGACGGGAGCCACGTTCGCGTGATGAGATTGCAATTCATGCAGGGACACGCGCCGGGTGGAAGGTAGTCTGGTGTGGCCTTTCTGTACCCTCTTTCCAAAATTGTAATAAAAATAATAGCCATCGGTGCCATACATATTCATAATGCGACAATAGGTCATTCATTCCTTTCAGAACGTTCTTCGTACCCTGTGTGTTTAAATTCATTACTTAAACAGTGTGCGGAATTTTTCTGTTGGCAATGTTGCTGCCCTGAAAAGGGGGGCAACACATGAGCTTGAAACTCAATAGGCGCGTCCTGGGACGCGCCAAAAAACAAGAGGAAGAAAATCCCCTAACTGGGGTGAAGCAAGATGAGGCAGTCGTAAAATCCACAAAATTGAAAGAGAAGGAAAGAAAATCCCGACAACCAGGGTAATTTATAATTTGAATCAACCCAACAGCGCAAAAAATCTCTCTTTATAGTCTGCATTGTAAATATGTGGTCTAAATTCGAGATGAGGTCTCATAATTGTGCTGAATCCATTTTGAAAGATTACAAAATCAATTGCTTTTTGAAATTTCCAGAAAAAATGGCTGGATCAACTTATGTGTCATGGCTTAAAGCAGCGCAGCTGCTGCATATGGCAGTAACTGGTTGAGAAAACTTGCTGTATCTCAAGGCCAGTGAGCCTAGCCAAAATCCTGTTTTTGCAAGACTCACTGAGCCTCACCCAAGGCCATGAAGTGGTTATCACTTCCTTAATTTTCCCAAAATTGGTCAATACTGATTACTGAGCCAGGAATAAATCACCTGATTTCTTCCTGACCAAGTCTGAGCACCTGGGTATAAAAGCCTTCATTTCTCTTTGAGATGAGATGGGAGAATCTTGCGTTGAACAGCCTTTTAACTTGAATTATCTTATTCATTTTTCTGAGCTAGCCAACCAATCTTACAATTGACTCTGTCATTCCAAAAAACCATTTGATTAACAGCCATATGATGATCTGGGCAATGAGAATGAACTCCTCAGAAAATAGTTTGAGTTATTATTCAAAACTTACGTTCTTATGGCTGCACAATTCAATTCCTTTGTCTGGGATCCAATGCATTCATGACAATATGCACAAAAAATGTGCTCATAATAAGGCCAAATAGACTTTAAATGCATGGTGTAAAATGAAGATGCTCTTTCACATTCATGTGCTAAATTCATTTCAAAAGAGAACAAAAGCCATTGTTTCCAAAATTTCCAAATAAAATGAAAAACGCGCCGTGCTATGTTTAGATGAAAACATTGGTTGACAGGAACTCTAATAATGTGAAAAAAATCTTTCTGGTGATTGAGAAACTTTGCTATTGGCAAGTTCACCAACCGCATAATTTATACTTGATATTCGCAAACATGAAGTTCCTCTCCTGAAAATATTTTCTCACGTGAATATGTCGCTTTTATTCATCTCCTGCCGCTATTAAAAGCATAATCTCAGATAATGAGAAAGTAGCTTCAACTGTGGGCGTATGTTTTAGCTTCAGTTCATAAGTTTTTCCCCTTGCGACATTATCATGCGGTCTCCAGCATGCAGCAGTTTCCACATCATGATCAAGTAACCGCAAAATCTTAACTTGTTTGGCGTCGAATCGCATTTTGCCGAACTGTACGTTAATTACTTGAAAAAAAAGAGCCGCTATTTGTTTGACTTCTCTTGATGGTATGCCTCCTGCTGAGAATTAATAGAGGACCAGAATTCCATAGCACGCAACAGCCCAACACAGCAGTGGTTCATCAAAAATTGTGCCTCCGATGGACGTCCATATATAGGAATGAGGGAAGTGTTTTGATGAAGCCTCCCTGCTTTTCCATTGTTATCTTATCATCACATAGCCGTGCATATGGCTTGTGTCGTCGATTATATGAGATATGTTACACACATTTTTTCTATGAATATTTTTTTGCCGGAGTGTGGGTTTAAAATGAAAATTCTTCAGATGAGGGAATATCATCTCCCATATTACGCGGGACGGGGTCGTCTCATCATCGTGGGAATAATTCGAGAATAAAATTTATTTTGTCAGCAGACATAGTAAAAAAGGAAGGAATCAAAACATAAATTGTCTTGTTGACAAAACAACTTGTATAGAAAATTGATCTGTGGTTCAGTTTGGTAACACTCATTTGCTCCGAATTGAGAATTATGGCCAAGGAATAATATACGCCATTTGCCTAAAATATTCTTCTTTCTTTGGCTAAATACAAATTTTTCCTGTGCCTTCCTCGCATTCAAACTTACACTAGCTTTAAAACTGTTTTTTGGGGGAATGGCGCATTTTTTTATTTCAAGCAAAATAAAATCAATCATCGAAATTTTCCGAAAAAAGAATTCATAATTTTTGTAATTGCTTCTAAACTTCTTATTCAAATTCCGGCGCTGCGTTTAAAAAGAAAATTTTCTCACAAAATGGTAAAGAAGAAAGATAAACACTAAAAACAACTTCAATCACTCATCAATAAATGGCGTGCGTTTAGCTGAACTCTATTATTTCAGCTGTGCAACGTGGAGTGGAATTTTTATTCGAAAAAAAATCTTCGTTGACCGATTCGCCATCTGATTTTGTTATTGGTTTTGTATGGTGCTATTTTTCCCGTAACGTGGGCTAAGAACCTGGCAATTTGCAACATATAGGTGGGGTTACATTTTTGCATATAAAAATACCCGCCCCCTTTTCCAGTAAATCACGCTCATCATTTATCCCAGGATCGATTTCAACTCCGGCTATGCTACATGAGCACATTTGCATCAAAATTTGAAATTTCCATTATGAAAATGCCTGTCTATAAATAGTATTTACGGTATACCTATCGTGGCAATACCATCATACACTGAAGGTGCACGTACCTCTTCTTGGCTGAAACCGCTTTGTCGTATGACTGCCTGCACTTTCTCTTAATTATGCAGAAAATTCTTGGGTACCGCAAAAAAATAAATTCCCTACCTGTCTGGGTTCCATCGGCTTTTTCACGTATGGTTCATGCCTCGTGTCGAGTCACAGTTTATTATCGCGGTCGATCGTTAATTGCATCCCATGCAGTGAAGGTTATTAGCCAGTGCTCCGCGGAACTCCAATGAGGGGCCCCTCAATATGTTTCCAGGGGCTCCGCGGCAGTTCATAAACATAAACATTAAAAATGCAGTACCTGACGCAATAAAAATTAGGATTCTCGATGTTGGGTATATGCGAAAAGAAGGCAAGAATTAAATCGCTGAGTTTTAAAGAGTAATTTAAGGTATACAGTCCATTCATCAGACACGATGCTCTCATGTTTTACTGCTTCATGAACATTTTTAAAGAAATTTCATAAATAAATTTGGCGTAAGTTACTCCATCGATGAATTTTTTTTCTGAAAGGGTTTAATTCTAGATGAGATCTACATTATGATTGAGACAAAATTGATTCCTTCAAAGTTTAATGTCAAAGGTAAATATTACACACGGGGAAAACCGAAGCATTTTCTTCGCTGTATTTAATTTGTTTATTAAACTGAAAATAGTGCAAAAAATTTGTAAAATGACTTACATGACTCAAAGAGGATGAGATGCTCTTCTACAGCGATTTGCGTGATTTTGTAATTTTTTTTTAAATTCCCTGTGATTATGAGAAGAAGTCTTGCTGATACCTCTGAAGGTCCCATTGAGGTTTCCATGATATGAGCGAAATAAAGGAGATGAGCTCACGCGATTGTCGCGGGGAAAATGTATTTAGAAGATGAAGATGACGATAACGATTCGATGTCACGTGTTGAAAGTGGGATTTTGGTTGAGAAAGAAGGTGAAATAAGACAGTGTTTTTCCTGATTTTTTTCACATTCTGGGAATGAGAAAATCTATAGCAATATGTTCAAGGATTTGATGAGTATCGTTGCTGTGTTAGAGATTCCGCTGAACGAGCGTTTCCAAATTTTTAAAAGCGCGGATGAAATCAAGGGTTCATCGGGAAGTTTAATGCCTAAATTTAGCGCTATCTGGGGAAAAATTGGGAAAACTGAAGCACTCATTTATTTTAAACTTTCTTAAGATTATCCCCTAAGAATTATTTAAATCAACGTCTAGAGATCTCTATTAAAACAGATTTTGTTGTTGTAGCCCAGCTTTTCTCTCAGAATTCTTGAAATCAACATGGCATTCAAGAACATTGCAAGTTAATTTCAAAAATTCTTAGGGGAAAGCTGGGCTACAACAACAAAATCTGCAGGAAGCGTGCATCATATTTTGAGTATTTCTGCATATTTCTGCAGGAAGGGCGCCTCATATTTTGAGTGGAGAGTGGAACTCTTCTCAAAATATGAGTGCAAAAAGTCACTTTTTTGCAGGGTGACCTTAATTTTCAAAAAATTCAAAGCAAGTTGACAAACAGGGTTGATCTTTTGCCAAAGAATAAGTTTTCCCTCGAGAATAATTGTTTTTCAGCTCAAGTATATGCCATTTCAATTTATATTCCAAGAACTTCTGTCAGATCCCCTGTATATAGCAGACGACGCGTACGTTATTCTTGCGGATTCGCGCGAATCGTTTCGTGCCAAATAAAAAGTAAAAACAACCTAGTATAATATATAAACAAGGCAAAATGTAAAGAACATGGAAGCATCCGTCATGAGAAAACCACGTTGTTATCCCTGAAAATACCTGCGAGGTTCGCGTTTGATGGGCCCAGTCCCAGCTTTTTTTTTACGATGATGGAGTCGTGAGGTGATAAAACCGGAATCCATTTTTCACCAGCCCAAATTCATGCGAAAGCTCTACTATATAAGTTTGTTTTTCTTATTTTTTCTTTTAACATATTGTATGGAAATATTTCGGCATTTCCGGATGAAAATATTCGACGAATGACGTCGTTTGACTATTTCATGTTTTATTTTGAAGCATTGCGGTGGAATTTTCTGACGCGGAGACCCATATTGTGAATCATTTTTTTATGCATTGTGATCCTCTGCTGCTGGTGTTTTAATGGCATTTTCCTGATGGATGTTTGGTTTATGGAAAAAAAAACCTAGCTATTCAAGTAAATGGATGAGATGTAACAGTATTCGAAAATTGTATTGAAAAAATATTCTTTAGATCAGAATCTAGAAGGCCGTTAATTTTTTTTGCGCGTCCAAGAAAGTTTCCTGTGAAGTTTCTAGGAGAAATTTGAAAAGCAAGCGAAGAAGCGTTAGTCATACAGTATTTGTATCCTATTCTCTCCTTCCACCATTGGTGACCTGAGCGCTGTCGCGGACCGAAGCGACGCAGCTCCAGCATCCGGTGGAAACCGGACCCCAGAACTTGTTGGATTTCCGAGGCCAGTGAGCCTCGCAAAAATCCTGTTTTTGCGAGACTCACTGAGCCTCACTCAAGGACAAATTCTTATTCAAAACTTGCATTCTGATGGCTGTACAATTCAATTCCTTTGTCTGGGATCCAATGGACCCATGACAAGCGCGACGACTTCTCATAATTTTCTGGAAATTAAGGGAACTAATAAATGAGAACAAGTGTATATCTGAAAATTTTGCGTGATGTCCCGAAATACGCATAAACGTCGTAAATCTTCGGAGAAAATATTCCGAACTTATGAAATGAATTAGTGATTAGTTTGCAGACGTCGCGAGAAAAATGGAATATACCTCGTACGAGTACGACTATATATAATCAAAATATTGCTGAAAGGATTTTCGGCTTCTTTCTTCGGACTGATGAAGTCTTTCTTTATTCATTTTTTTTAAATTCACAGACTTTTGAGGGAAACGACAATACGTATTTGAGGAAGAAGAATGTGATAAATCCGCCGTTCATGGCGACAAAAATTCGGATCAGGCCCTATTCGAATCACCAGAGAACCGTGTGCATGAGAGTGGAATTCTACGGGTGCAACTACACAGGTGAGAAAGGATTTCGTTTAAAAAGCCTCACAAGTTTAATCCGGATTGGAATTCAATTTTTGTACGATATTAAGGAAATTGAAAACATTCCCGTGGGAAGTTAGGTATGAAAGTTCCCATCGAAAAAAAAGATGCGAGGAGGTCTTCGGTATTAAATCTGTGATTGCTCTTCCCCAGAAAAATATTTACGCCGAGAAAAAAAATTTAAAAACATTTTCAAAACGATTGGAAGCCACGTGCGTAGGAGGA